GCTGAGCGTGGTGCTGACAACACCGAGTCAAGGGTTGAGATCCCCTTACCGGTCATCTTTTAAAAAAAAAAAAAAAAAGGTTGCTTCTGTGAAATGATCTTTGTGTACATAATTTGTCCTGTTAAAAATACAAGCTTCTGTGTGAGTGAAAAGGTTGCTCCTGTGAAATGATCTTTGTGTACATAATTTGTCCTGTTAAAAATACAAGCTTCTGTGTGAGTGTCTCAGAAGTGCAGGGGACTCTTGGCAATAGCGTCAGTGCCATTCAGACCTGGAGGACAGCTTTCCCACAGTGCTGGGATCCCAAAGTGAATAGTCAAGATGACTGGCCCTGCCCCTCCCCCAGGGATGTGTCCTAGCTTCTGAAGATATCGTGGTGTCCCGGGTCCCTGGGATGGCCCCCTCACCCTCATCATCATTACTGTGTCACTTCAGAAGGGAATGGGGGCAGTTGGGATTTGCTGAGCACCTGCTGTGAGCGGATGCTGTGTGCCATTTTGCGTAAGCCAGCTTGTTCAGAGAAAGCTTCCCCATGCTGAAAGCAAAAAGTCCAATGCAGAAAAAAACAAAAAACCAACAGGAGAACTGCCTTTTTCTCATAGAGTGGTCATACCTGTCCCCTTGTTTTACAACCTGCTTCTATTTGGGAACTGTTTGTGGCAATGAATGAAGGTTTGGCTAATTTTCCCATCATTCCTTGCAGCCAGGATGAAGTTACTTCATTTGGATTAGGGGCAGGAAGAATTCCTGTGTCCCAGGCCTTGGAAGATCTGTTTGGCTCAGAGCCATGGCCCAAGTCATAGACTAGAATGGAGCCAGAGATCTGGCCAGCATTCAGACCTCAGCTGGGGAGGGCCCAGATAAGGCCTCCCTGGAGGTGGCCTCAGATGGACCCTGCAATATGGTTTAGCTGGTGTTCTCGGGGCAGCTCAGTGGCATCTGCTGCATTGGGCTCGGCAGATATTTACTGAATGCCTGCTCCATGCTGGGCATCCTGTGCTGGGACTTGGGGGCCGTGGAGAGCTCACAGTCTGGTGGAAATCCTTTCTATATGGCTTGCAGTCTTCACATGAATATAGGCTGGAGAGATACCACTTTTCTGCTGAGGTTGGCTTCTGTCTCCTAACTCACTGGCAAGGCTTCCTGCTCTGATCATTTCTTTGGTAGTGGGAGTGACATTCAAGGACATTTCATTAAGCTGAGGCCAAATTGGGGAGAAAAATAAGTGTGTGGGTGGCCCCAGACCTTCCCTCTATATATTTCCCTTTTGAAACTCTGTGAATTATTGAGTCCTGACTTCAGCATCTTGCCATCCAGGAAGAAACAAGTAAGGGAGAAGACAGGCCATTTCCTTCCTCCTAGGTGACATTCTATATCTTTGTCCCCACCCCCATCTAAGTGCTCAGATGGGGCTTACTGGGAACATTTTATCATATAGCTATGCCCAGATGCCATTTTGGGAGCACATAATTTATTCAGATTGCATAAAAGCTAGTAGCAAACAGGATGTCTGCAAAGAAAACCTGGGGGATTCACTACTTCCAGCCTCTGGTTGTGGGTGGGAGCATCATTTTACCTAGAAAACAAAGGAATTTTCACTTCTCCAAAGAGCTAGTAATTTGCTGGTCGATATTCCTGGCGACTTTTTGCATTAAGTGCTGCTCTAAATCAAATATTGATGTTCTCATAAAGGTTTAGTGCAGATGAGTGCAACTCTTGTCGGCTCTAAGCGTTTCACCGGTGTCATGGGGAAAAGTTCAGTAAAACTTGTAAATTAGCTGGTTTTCCCTACCCAGAACACTCCTGTCTCTCAGAGAGGAGGTGAGTCCTGTCCAGGGCAGTATTGAGCCTCCAGGATGTGAGGCTGGCTCTGGTCTCGGTGCCAGAAGAGGCATCTGCTCTGGGTGCCTCCACGCTTGGCTCTGGGGAGCACAGGTTTTGCTGCCTCTCATCTCGGTCCAGACTGCAAGTGGGTTCTTCCTGGACCAGGCTGCATTTTTTAAAATACACTTTTAATTTTGGAACAATATTGGATTTACAGAAAAGTTGCAAAGGTAGTGCAGAGAATTCCCATATATTCCTCACCCAGTTTCAATTACCCTAAATGTGAAATGTGCAACCGTACTTTTGTCAAAACGAAGAAACCAACACTGATACACTTCTATTAACTATTCTCTAGAGTTGGTTTGGATTTCACCAGTTTTTGCATTAATGGCCTCCAGGATCCAGTCAAAGATACCACATTGTACTTAATTGGCCCATTTCCTTAGTCTCCTCTGGTCTGTGACAGTTTCTCAGACTTTCCTTGTTGTTCATGACCTTGATAGTTTTGAGTACTGGGCAGGTATTTTGTAGAACGTCTCTCAGTTTGGGTTTGTGTGATGTGTTTCTCATGATTGGACTGTAGCTATAGGTCATTTGAAAGAGTGCCTTGGAGGTGAAGTGACCTTCTCTTGCATCATTTCAGGTGGTACATGACATCCACATGACCTCACTGGTGATGTTGACCTTGGTCACTTGGTTAAGGTCATGTTTGCTGGGTTTTTCCATTGTGAAGTTTGTTTTCCTTCCCATACTCTGTTCTTTGGAAGTGAGACACTAAGTCAGTCGCTCAGACTACATCCTGAAATATCTGATGGTGATATTTAAAAATCATGAGACTTTTAAAGATATAAATCTGGAATGCCGTGTGGCAGCAATTGGCTGCCATGGGGTAACCCTGTCCCTTTTGACAAGGACCCAGCTCTCCAGGTCACCACAGGCCCACTCCCCCATTTCGCTCCTTTTGGTCACCCACCAGACCCTTGAAAGCACTTGAGTTTGAGACCCCTGCCCTGGGTCATCTTCCCTTTCCTGGCAGTATCCTGCTAGTAGCCTGGTTAGATTGACCTTTCCACTGATACAAGGTCTTCATGTCCCAAAATAGCATGCCTCAGTTTTGGCAATAAATTTACATTTTTTTTTTAAAGGTGACCGGTTAAGGGGATCTTAACCCTTAACTTGGTGTTGTCAGCACCTGACCTTTCCACTGATACAAGGTCTTCATGTCCCAAAATAGCATGCCTCAGTTTTGGCAATAAATTTACATTTTTTTTTTTTAAAGGTGACCGGTTAAGGGGATCTTAACCCTTAACTTGGTGTTGTCAGCACCACGCTCTCCCAAGTGAGCTAACCGGCCATCCCTATATAGGGATTCAAACCCATGACTTCGGTGTTATCAGCACCACACTCTCCCAAGTGAGCCACGGACTGGCCCTAAATTTACATTTTAATGTAATGTTTGCACCCTTGTTGGGAAGCAGAAAAAGAAATAGTAAAATACATTAAATTTATTATTTATCGTCATACAACTTGGAGGGGATTTATGAAAAACATTGCTTCAAGAGGAAAGAATCTCCTTATCTGTCCCTAGCGTCCTTTTAACCATATGAGTTCACTGGAAATTTCCTAAGTTCAGGGACAAGGAGCATATCAGCTACCCAATGAAGGAAAGTCAGCCTCACCACTGAGATGCTTTTCCTTAAAAATGCATTTGCTTCTCATCCCTGTCGTTTGTGACGAGAGAGAGATTTTCATGGGAAGCATGGGAGCCTTCTGCCGCCCATGAAGAGGATTTTAGTTAGCACAGCTCTGAGGTAGGAGATGGTGTACGCTTCATTTTGCATCTTAAGTGCGGAGCTTAGTGAAGTGCATGTTGTGTCAATTATCTGAGCCAAATGGACCAAAGACCACATAAACCTTTGCCCTCCACACTGCCTGGTGGAGCAGGCATGAAGTTGAGCCCGTTCTGACCCACTCATGAATGTGCCCACCTGTCATGACTGGTGGACATGCTATCAACGAGAACCTAAGGCCATCATTTATGAATAAGGCACAACTAATTGAACCCTTCCTTGTTTTCTAGGGGGGGCTGTCGGGGGTCTATTAGGTGCCTGGATGACAAGTGGACAGTTTAAGCCAATTCCTCAGATCCTAATGGAGCTGCCCCCTGCCGAACAGCGGAGGCTCTTTAACGAAGCCACTGCCATTGTCAGGCACCTGGAGTGGACAGATGCCGTGCAGCTGACCGCACTGGTCATGGGCAGCAGTGCCCTGCAGCAGCAGCTGCTGGCGATGCTGGTCAACTATGTCACCAAGGAGCTGCAGGCCGAAGTACAGTACGACGACTAGGCTACTGCCCCAGGGAAGTGGGGCTTTTGTGTAGCAGATTCTGTGACTCCTAGAAGATGACGGAGAGTTGGGGGAAGCCCAGTAGGTTTCCCTGAGAAATCTACACATCATCAAAGTATTACCTTAAACTGGAGTGGAATCTCCTGCTGGAGAGGCTACTACTATGTTGCATCATGTTCCAGTAATTATTTATGAAGAAGTTATGTTTTTGCGGTCATGTGCTCTAATGAGCACTGACAGCCTTTGATTGGGAAGCCTGTGAAAAGCAAAGGCATGCGTGTTGCAGGCCTCAGCGGCAGTTTTCTGAATCCTCTCTCGCCAGCATGGGAGTCTGGAGGAAGTTATCATGTTCGTCTTTCTGACTACCCTTCATTCTCCCCTGGTGGGGCCTTCTCATCTCGTGGAGATGAGTTGTCTTCCAAGCACCTGTTGTAGGACTGGATCCCCCCTCTTCGGCTCCAGAGTCTTAGGATCTGAGAGCTGGCTCATGCTGGAATCGTAATTACCTCCTGAGTGTGTGCCTTCCCTGCCCAGTGACTTCTAAGTTGCCTCATGGAGGGGGACAGTCGGCCTGTTGAGCCAAACTACAATGCCAAGTGCACTGGCCTCTTCTCCCATGAGCTGTTTCTTCCTCCCAGGGTCTTGCTTTCCTCACCAGAAAAGTCATGGTAGTTCTTGAGTTATGCTTTTTACATGAAGTATTTTCAGTAAAAAGTATTGCTTTTTCTGAAGTGATGGAATTACAAACCAAGTCAAAGAAATGTTTCCACCCTAAAGATTCCCCTAATACTGTATGCACTTTGCTTTCTGAACTACAACTTGAGTGAGTGTCATCAAATTACAATAAATTTTTTTCTGAAAAGTCTTTTCCCACATATTCTGTGTGAAGCATTTCTAACATTTGAAGTCTTACACGTGGAACAAAAGGGAAGCTACCAGACTTGTGGCTTTAAAGACTGAAGGAACGCTCTCCTGATTCCAGGGCCTGAGACTAGCATTCCCAGTCTGGCTTTGTCCCCCCCTGTGCTGCCAGTGTGTGCACACAACCCCCAACCTCCTCTAGCAGCTGCAGAAGGTCCCTCGTGTCCCCCAGGCCCTGGGGCAGGGTGGGGACTTGGGGATTTCTCCATGGTCTGGTCCCTGGAGGTGCAGAGGGAGGCACTTCTGCTGAGGGCCAGCTTAGAGGAATGCTCGGTGTCCTGGCACCTCCCTGTGTGTAAAGAAAACTTCATGGTGAATTATAACCCACAGTGATTAAGGAAGGATCAAGCCTTTATCGCTCAGAGAAGTTACTCTTCAGCTGGCCTGTCTAACACAAATCAGGTGCCCCAGTGCAGGCCACACTCCTGGAGTTAATGAAGCCACTTTACTCGTTTATGTGCTGGTTGAGTTGATGGGGGACAGGGCAGGGTTGGGAAGGGGAGGTTGTCTGTGAAAACCGAATGTGACTTTTCTTGTCGAACTGATCATTTTTGCCTTTCCTGCTAATAAGTCACTCCTTGCGGTTCCTTGAAATAAAAATCTAAAATCAGGGCATGCACTTTCCCCCCATTTTTTATAGCTTTAGTGGGCTCTAAAGTTGCCCTCTCTTTAGTGTTAGGGTAAAACATTGATTCACAGAAAGCATGAGAGTGAAACCAGAATAAAGATTCTTGATTCAGTACTTCAAAGTTGGTGGATGCTTTTTCCATTTTGAACAATGTGCCAAATTCTGCAACTGCTTACAACTGATCCTCCTGGAAAATCAGGGCTGTAATGGAGTTCCCTTTGTTAGGTGACTGGGCCCCATCCATTTGTACTTGCGTCCCATTCTGTGCCAGGCCCAGGGGACACAGGTGGACCCAGCTCAGAGGCCCAGTATCCACTGAAGCCCCTCCCCCAGCCTGTCTGCCTTTACGCCTGAGTAAAACACTCAGAGAGGAGATGGTCCAACTCCTCACCAATTTTGTCTGATGGAGCAGACCTGCAGAGTGAAGACACCCATGACTAGCCAGGTCCCAGGGTGACTCGGTAGCTTTGGGCCCAAGAGGGCAGTTTGGACCTCAAGTCCCGTCTCTCCCAGGAGCTGAAAGCACTTTTCCTTGATTTCTCCAGGTTTCTCCTCCTCAGGCTCTCTTTTCAGCTCCTGTGATTATAGCATTTTTATTTCTTTATCCTCTCTGTAAACATTTATTTCTGAATAGGTAATATCTGCTTGGTACAAAACTTAAAAGGTAGCAGAGAGTACGAACTGTCTAGGAAGGCGTTCCCCTAATGCCGACTCCAGATACAGCCACTGTTACCAACTTCTCATGCATTCCTTTAATTCTGTCTTTCAACTGTCTTTGAAAACTGTTCATTTCCTTTTATTTGTCAGTGTTTATTGCTGAAAACACAGAAAAACATAATGAAATAAAAACCACTACAAATTTCACCACCCAGAAAACTGCTGTTAATAAATTTGTATCTTTCTTGCAATCATTTTAAGGCTATATGTATATCACTAACGTATTTGCATTCCTATTGTATATACCTCTTTGAACACTTTTATCAATTAACGTTTGGTGTAATTTAAAATTCCTTGTAAATATTGATAATGGCTGTGGAATATTTCATTATACCTAACTATATGCCTGGTGGTGTTTCCTTTTATAGGTTTTTACTATTATAATGCTGCAGTGATCATTTCTGTGTTAATATTCTCTTCATATTTTGGATTGTAAACAGTAGATAGTCTTAGGATAGATTCTTCAAAGTGAAACTGCTGGATTAAAAAGGATGCGACATTTTTTAAGGTTGTTATATTCGGTCAACACTCTTTCCTGAGAGGCAGTATCATTAATTTACTTTTCCAACAGCAGGGCTTGGGAGTGCACATCTCACTGCGTCCTCACCAAGGGACAGAATGAGAGTGTCCTAAACCTTTAGTAATCTAATGGGGGACTACTGATGTCTTGGTTTGATCCATTTTTCCTTTTTTTTTTGTCCTTTTTGAGACCGGCGGCACTGCGCTCAGCCAGTGAGCGCTGTGAGCGCACCGGTCATCCCCATATAGGATCCAAACCCGTGGTGGCGGGAGTGCTCCCGCGCTCCCAGCGCCGCACCCTCCCGAGTGCGCCATG